GCCTTGTGGCCCCCCAGCCACTCTGCTCAGCACTTAACCAGGCGGGAGCCCACAAGGTCTCTACAGGAGGCTGGGCCTGCCAGGCCCACAGTGGTCCTGCACGGGGCCATGCCCCCCTCCCTCTCTTTCTTCTGCCCATCCCCACAAGGGCTAGCTGGGTCAGCTGCAGTCTCCAGAGAAAGTCGGGGCCCAAGGAAGAGGCAGGAGGAACACTCACACTTCCTCGGAGGATAAGACTCTCGTCCCGTTAACCATTACCCCATCGCTTCCACGACTGCGTCTTCAAGGAGGCGGGACTTAAGGGGGACAGGTGGGAGGGTCAGCTGGTTGCGATGGACCTTGTCCCTACTCTGAGGATTGGGTTGCTGATCCAACCATGGAAGCAGCTACAGGTAGGAGGCTGGGAAAATCCTCTGGAGGGGACTTCGGGGCAGCCAGGGGGGCAGATTTGGAGGCGGGGACCAGGGCACGCTTGATGTTGGGGCTTGGAGCTCCGAGGCAAATAGAAGTTCGGAGGAAAGAGGTGAGTTGATGAGTCTTCTTGGCCACATCCTGAGCTGCTCTGCTCAGACTGCAGGGACTTGGGAGAGGGGAGGGAGGAAGGGGAACCCAGCGTCACTGAGTGCGTCATGGCAGTGAGAAGGGAAGACCTTTTGGGAGCAGGACAGAGGGGCGGGTCCTGTGCTTGGGGCTTCCCCTAAGTCCTTTTCAGTTTATGGCCGTGAGGAGGCATCTGCGGGGAAGAAAGCGCCCCTCCTCCTCTCCCCCGCCTCTTTGCCCAGTAGATCTTCAGGACACAGCCTCGTTAATTCTGTAAGTGCCACGAGGGTGGGGCAAGGGGAAGGTGGGACGTTCTTCAGCCGCCATCAACATCGAAGCAGAGCCTGGGATCTAAGTCCAGCCCCAGCTTCTAGCTGCTTCCCGTGTCTCCTTGCAGGAAGTTCAAGTTCAACCCAAAGCTGGGCGTTGACAATCCGGTCCTCTCCCTGGCTGAAGACAACTCCTCTGGTAACTCCCTCACCCACCACAACCATCCCCTTCCCCGAGAGACACCCTAGTTGTACAGTCACCCTCTCTGTGGGGGCCAGCACGCCGCCTCTGAGCCCCCCAGCACGAGTGGCTGGAGGCAGCAGGGAATTGTGTCCCAGCCACTCTGCTCAGTACCTAACCAGGAAGGAGCCCACCAGGGCCCTACAGGAGACCGGGCCTGCCAGGCCCACAGTGGTCCTGCACAGGGCCATGCCCCTCTCCCTCTCTTTCTGCTGCCCATCCCCACCATCAGATTCTCTGAGCTCGCACCGGCCTCGCTTCTGTTTGCTGAGCAAAGAGGAGGGCAGAAGTTTTGGCTTCCACCTGCGGCAGGAGCTGGGCAGGACCAGGCACGTGGTGTGCAGGGTGGAGCCAGGCACCACAGCCCAGCGCCAGGGTCTCCAGGAAGGGGACCAGATCCTGGGTGTGAACAGCAAGGTCGTGGAGCATGAGGACTATGTGACGGTGAGGCCGGGCCGGCACCCTGTGGTGCAGGAGGGTCTTCCGTGGCACCCGGGAGAGAAGCTGGCTGAACACCTCCCTGGGGCAGAGCCTTACTTCCCCCCACACCCCAGGATTTACAAGGACCCCAGAAAGGTTGGGTGACGGCACCTCCACGCAGGTTCCCAAGAGGTCCTGGGAGTTGGCAAGGGGTGCCAGCCTGAGCCTGACCACGCCCTCCACGTAGGTGGTGCGTCACATCCGGGCCAGCGGCCCTCGGGTGCTGCTGACCGTTTTGGCGCGGCACGTGCACGATATGGCCCGAGCGCAAGTGGGGAGCGGGGCCCGCCTCTGCCCTAGCCTAGGCCCTGAGGTCCGGCCCCGGCTGTGCCACATAGTGAAAGATGACGGTGGCTTTGGCTTCAGTGTCACCCACGGTGAGTGTAGAGGGTGGGCAGAGTGACGGTGGTGGTGGTGGTGGGGTCCCAGCCCCTGCTCTGGGCAGGCAGCAGATTGCAACTTGCTTTTCTCCTTCCTTCTCTTTCTTTTTATTGGAGAGGTTTTTGTTATAGGGTGCCTGTGCTTGCCAGACAGACAGAGACAGAGAGACAGAAAGTGAGAAATCACCCCCTGCCAGGGGGGATGGCCACACCGCAATCCCTTCTCCTCCATTCTCCTCTTGGGATCCTGGGCACGCACGCACACGTGCAACTGGTGTGAGTTTAAGCCACCGGGTCCGGGACTCGAACCGCGGACGACTACATGGGAGTCCAGCAACATAGCCATTACACTAACTGCTGATCTCTTTCTTTTCTTTCTCTTTCTCTCTTTCCTTCTCTCTTTCTTTTTCTCTCTCCCTTCCTTCCTTCTCTTTCTCTCTTACTCTCCCTCCCTCCCATCCTTCCTTTCTCCCTTTCTTTTTGCTTCCAGGAAACCAGGGTCATTTCTGGTTGGTGCTAAGTGCTGAAGGGGCGGCTGAGCGTGCAGGGGTGCCCCCTGGGGCCCGACTGCTAGAAGTGAATGGAGTCGGTGTGGACAAGTTCACTCATAACCAACTCAGTAAGAAGGTATGACGGCTGCCTCCACTGCCCCTCCACCCGGCTAGACCCGGGCCCTACTCAGGACGCAGACACCTCCCTCCACACCTAACCTCTGCCCCCACCTGCCTCCATGCCGTCCTTCCCTCTAGTCTGTGCCAGGTCCGCCCCGCAAGGCCTCCTTCCTGTGCATGGGCTGAGGGGCTGTGGAGGTGCCTGCTTTTCCCCTCCCTACATGGGTGACTGATGCTGACACCCTGCGGGCTCCCCATAGCTTCACCAGAGTGGAAAGCAGGTGACCCTGCTGGTGGCAGGGCCAGAGGTGGAGGAACGGTGTCACCAGCTGGGAATGCCCCTGGCTGCACCCCTGGCAGAAGGCTGGGCGCTGCCCACCAAGCCCCGCTGTCTACACCTGAAGAAAGGGCCCCGGGGCTTCGGGTTCCTGCTCCGGGAGGAGAAAGGTCTTGGAGGTCGCCTCGGTGAGTGGGAGCCCTGGGAGTTGGTGGGGAGGTGGGCCTGGTGCTGGGTTCACAAGTGTAGACACAGCTCTCAGTGCACACAGGAATGTCTGAGCCCTAGCCCTGGGACTCTGGTGGCCTGGGGTGGCACTGGGAGTGGCTCGGGGAGGAGCTCTGAGGGTGTGTGTGTCACACGGCAGTTCCTTTTCTTTTTCTGTTTTTTGGGAAAGGGTTTTGCTATAGGGCGCATGTGCTCGCTAAACAGAGAGAAACAGAGAGACAGAAAGCAAGAAATCGCCCCCCAGGGGGGATGGCCACACTGCAATCCCTTCTCCTCCATTCTCCTCTCAGGATCTTGAGCATGCATGCACACACGCTCGGCATGAGTTTAAGTCACCGGGTCCGGTACTCAAACCGCGGTCGACTATGTGGGAGTCCAGCGACATAGCCATTACGCTAACTGCTGGTCCCATCACAGGGCAGTTCCTGTGGGATGTCGACCCAGGGTTGCCTGCCGAGAAGGCCGGGATGCGAGCCGGGGACCGGCTGGGGGGCGGGGCCCGTTGCAGGGGAGAGTGTGGAGGGGCTGGGCCATGAAGAGACGGTGTCCAGGATCCGAGCGCAGGGCACCTGTGTCTCCCTCGTTGTCGTAGACCCTGAGGCTGACCGCTTCTTTAACATGGTGCGCGCTGGGACAGGGGGTCGGGATGGGGGGAAGGGGCTGGGCAGGCCCAACAGCGGGCTCTCCACTCCTGCAGGTTCGCCTGTCCCCACTCCTCTTCTTAGAGAGCACAGAGGCTGCCACCCCTCCCCAGGACACATGTCCAACCTCTCCGGTGGAGACCGAGGAGCCACCAGGTGAAGATACAGCTGCCCTCGGCTCTCGTCAGTGCTCCCTGTACCCCGGGCCCGGTGGTGGCTATGGCTTCCGACTCAGCTGCGTGGCCAGTGGGCCTCACCCCTACATCTCCCAGGTGACTGACACCCCATGGACCTTGGATCTTCTCCATTGTTTGCCACCTGAGTGATCTCCCAGAGCCTCAGAGCGCCAGGCAGACCTCTCCATGGTGGTCCGTGTTCCATGTCCTCCCACACTGCAGGTGACTCCGGGGGCCTCAGCTGCCCGGGCGGGACTGCAAGTGGGAGACGTGATTCTGGAGGTGAATGGGTGTCCCACAGGAGGAGAGGGTGCCGCAGAAAGGCTTCAGCAGCTGGCTGAGGCCGAGCCCCCCCTCCGCCTGAAGCTGGCAGCTCGGCCTCCGCAGGGCGTGGATGCTTGGATCCCTCCAGGGTCTGAACAGGTGAGGACAAAGAGCAGGCCGGCCAGGGAGGAGGACTGCAGTGTGGGCTGCGCAAGGTGGGACTTTAGGTCGAGGTGGGTGGAAACACAGGACCCACAGAACCAGTCCCATCCCTAGAAATCCAGAGCAGGCGAGCAGGGGAAGGAAATGCATCTGGTCCTGGAATGACCTCTCTCCTTTCTCTGCACAGGGCTGGGCTCTGGACTCAGATCTGCTGTAGTCCCTGCTCTGTGCAGCCCTGTCTGCCTGGTGCCTCTCCAGGCCGAGGTGGTGGGAACAGGGATGCACTCTCAGCCGGGAGCCAAGCCAGATCACCAGGACTGGGACCGATCACAGGACTGCCAGAGGCCCCTGCCTTCCCATGGTCCACCTCCCAGCAAAGGGCATGGTGGGGGCTCCGCGCGTGGGTGCCACAGGAGCTGGAGACCTTCACGGGGGAGCTTTGCAGAGCTGTGTCTCAGGACGAAGTTCTGTCTGAGGAGGGTCGGGTGTGGGGCTGGCTAGGATGAAATCCATTTGGAACTTGACCAAGGAGTGACTCCAAGCTCCTCAGCTGGAATGCAAGAAATTGGAGACCTTCTCTCTGTGGGCACCCACCGTCTCAGGGGGCTGGAGCCTGGTCCCTACTGTGTCTGTTCTAGAAATGGCCTTTCCCCACAAATCTGGCTGCCTGTGTTTGTGTTGGTGAGGCAAAGGTGGTGGTCGGATGACATCAAAGGGCTCCAAGCTCAAGGGTTGGGACCCGACTTCTGCCAGAGAGGAGTTGAGATCTCGTGAAAATTTCCCCCTGTGTTCCAGTCTTCGGAATCATGGGTCAGCCCAGGTGTTGCCATGGGAGCCGCTCCCCTCGGCCATACGGCCGCAGTCCACAGTTCTGCTGATTCCTCCATCAAGATACTTTATTGCCGGGAATTCAGCGTGTCCCCAAGAGGGGGCAGAAGCTGGCAGCCTCAAAGATCCAGGGGGTTGAGTCCAAACTGGCCCAGCTGCTGCTTGAGCCGGGCGTGGAGTCTCAGCGCAGCCCCGTCCCACTGAGGCTCGATAGCCCGTAGCTTGGCCAGGAGCCCGTCCAGGCTGCCCTACAGACACCATGTTTTCAGCACCCAGGGAGAGAGGGCAGGAGTGGAGGTTGCTCCAGGGTGCTTTGTAAGCTTTCCTGGCCTATATTTTCCTAAACAGTGGGCGAGTAGCACAATGATATCCCTTCTGCTTACCCCAGACCAGAGGTCTCTGTGGAGACACTCCTCCTTACCCCTGGGTGGTGGGTCAGTTAGCGGGCATGAAGTGCCGTGTGCTGGCGTGGCTGGACTCCAGAGGGTGGTGCTTACATGTAAGATTTCCTCGTACTTGGCCTCCATGTCTGCCACGTGGGCCCTAAGCTGGGCCAGGGTCCTGTCCCGCTCTCGGAGGGCCTGTTGAGCCTCTTTCTGTGCAGCCTCAGCCTCCCTCTGGCACGCCTCTAGGGGGCAGGGCAAAAAGACAGAAGAGGACAAAGAGTGACAAAGAGGACAAAGGCTCTAGCCTTGAGCAGTCCCCAAAGGAACCTAGAATGGAGACCTCGAGTGGGATCCTTCTGGACTCCCCCAGGGTCAGCAACTTTCCCCAAGCTCTGTAAAGAGCTGAAGTTTCACTCAGGTATCATGGGCTTGGGACAAGAGATGGGGGGCTGGCCCTGTAGCTCAGTGGTTAAGTGCTGTGCATTGGAGTCGGATCCCACATGGGTGACTGCGGGTTCGAATTCTGGCAACTTGGAAAACAAAACAAAACACAACCCTCTGGATGCACGTGCATGTTAATATTCCTCCAGAATATTAACTGGAGGAAAAATGGAGAGAAAGGGATGGAGGCATGACCACATTCCACTGAGGGGTGTTTTTTTTCCCCCCTCTCTCTGGTGAGCGCATGTGCCCTCTGGCAATAATAGTAATAAAACCGTCTGGTCACTTACTACTTTACTTACCTCGGACATGTCTCTCTCTCAGCCACACTTCTTCATCTTTTAGGAGAGAATGATACATACTTTACGGGCTGGTGGTGACCATTAAATACGAACCTGGAGAGGCTGGCAGGTGGCATAGGGGTAAAGACACTGGACTCCCATGTGACCGACCAGGGTTTGAGTCCCAGACCCGGTGACTTGAAACTCATGCCAGGTACATGTGCGTGCGTGCCCCAAATCCCGAGAGGATAATGGAGGAAAAGATTGTGGTGTGGCCATCCTCTCTGGGGGGAGATTTCTCACTTAATGTCTCTCTGCCTTTCTGGTGAGCACACATGCCCTAAAGAAAAGATCTCTAAATAAATAATAAATTAATAAAAGGGCTGCCAGGTGGCATGGTGAAGATGCTGGACTCCCACATGGCCAACTGTGGTTTAAGTCCTGGACCTGTTGGCTTGCTTTTTCACTTTCTCTCTCTCTCTTTCTCCTGTGAGCATATGTACCCTATAGCACACTTAAAAAATAATAACGATGGGACCAGCAGGTGGCGTGGTGGTGAAGGTGCTGAACGCTCCCATGTGGCAGACTACAGTTTAAGTCCCAGACTTGGCGGCTTGCTTCCTCACTTTCTCTCTTTCTCACTCTGTTTCTTTTTCTCTGGTCAGACTAAAAATAAATAAATGAATAAATAAAATTAAGTAAATAATTAAAAATAATAATACTTGGGGCCAGCAGCTGACGTGGTGGTTAAGACACTGGATTCCTACATGGCTAACCACAGTTTAAGTCTCAGACCTGGCAGCTTGCTTTCTCACTTTTTCTTTCTCTTTCTCAGGTAAAGTTAGAGGACAAAATTGTGAAAGATCTCCCATGTCATGATGAATGTCTCAACTCTTTCCTGTAAGCAAGAGGAAAGAAAAGTAAAGGCTTCCTGTTTCTTCCATTTTTTGCTTATTTGGAGGGTTTATTCGTTTATTGAGCAAATAGTTACAGGATTTATGGCCTAGCAGCTGTTAGTCGTTGAAGATATAAAAGTAGATACATTTTGGGCCAGCAGATGGCGTAGTGGTTACATCGCTGGACTCTCACATGCCAACTACAGTGTGAGTCCTGGATCTGGTGGCTTGAAATTCTCACTGGGCGTGCATGTGTGCGTGCCCAAGATCCCAGGAGGAGAATGGAGGAAAAGGATTGAGGCATGGCCATTCCCCCGGGGGGTGATTTCTCACTTTCCCTCTCACCATCTCTGTCTCTGTCTCTCTCTTTCCAGCGAGCACACATGCTCTAAGACAAAAACTTAAAAAAAAAAAAAGTAAATATATTTAACAATTCCTCTTAATAAAAATCAGCTAAACTGGAGTCAACAGGTGGTGTAGTGGTTAAGGTGCTGGACTCCTATATGGCTGACCGCTGTTTAAGTCCCAGACAGGGTGGCTTGCTTTCTCACTTTCCCTTTCTCTCTCTCTCTCTGGTGAATGTGCATGCCCTATAGCAAATTAAAAATAATAATGAATGAAATTAAATAATTATTTTTCTCTTTAAGAGAGATTTTTGCTGTAGGGCACATATGCTCGCCAGAGAGACAGAGACAGAGAGACAGAAA